ATTATGACTATGACCCATCTTGAAATATTCTTGAAGCCTCCCCCCGCCAAAAGAAACACAAACTATTGAAACATATAGAGAAGTATGTATGTTAAGAAGAGATGTTTCCAAAATGTACCAATTAATGACAAAACTAACAATCAGTCAAGCGTTACCACAGAGTGTCTTTATTCTTAATGCAATATGCTGCACCTGATTTCTAAATTTTACATGCTAATCCTGCACAAGACAAACGGTGCCTCTGGCATCATGGATCTATGACATCACATGTGATGCGTTCATGAGCGTCGGTTCACACAGCATAACAGTATGTTCGTTTGAGCATCAAACCAATCTGATATCTCGAATATGAGTAATTCTTCATATATTAACCAACATGTATGGTATTCACTTTTCTTTTGTCAGTGTGTGTGTGTGTGTGTGTGTTTGTTTGTCTGTATTTGTGTGTGTGCGTGTTTGTATTTGTGTGTGTTTGAGAGAGAGTGTGTGTGTTTGTCTATTCTTGTGTGTGTGTGTTTGTCTGTATTTGTGTGTGAGTGTGTGTGTGAGTGTGTTTGTATGTTTGTATGTGTGTTTGTATGTGTGCGTGAGTGTGTGAATTTGTGTGTGTTTGTATTTGTGTGTGTGAATATGTGTGAGTTTGTAATCATGTGTGTTTGTGTCAGTGTTTACCTGTATTTGTGTGTGAGTGTGTGAAAGTGTGAGTGTCTGAGTGTGTGAGTCTCTGTGTATGTGTGTGTGTGTGTGTGTGTGTGTGTGTGTGTGTGTGTGTGTGTGTGTGTGTGTGTGTGTGTGTGTGTGTGTGTGTGTGTGTGTGTGTGTGAGAGAGAGTGTGTGAGTGTTGAGTTGATCTGGTTTTCAGACAAGTGGGAAGCTCACGTTGAAGGCTGACATGAGACGTACAACAAAACATCATAACTGTCAAGTGTTTCGGTTACCAAAATCAGCCATGGATTGGAGATTAGGGTGGAAACACAAGCCTGGGTATATAACACAATACTACTCAGATCCAGTTATGTAAACACAGATATTAATCAATCTAAATACATGCCTATAAATATAGTCACATGAGAAGGGCTATAATATAATCAGATTAAATATCTAATATAGCATCTCATCTAATATACCAGCTTATTGAACATATCATCTGATTAAACATAGCATCTTATCTAACGCATCTGCTCATGTAATAATCAACCTATCCATATCAACGTGCCTAATGTGTCATCTTATCTAACTGTGCCATTTAAAAGAAGTAAAATACCCCCCAATTCTTTGATATTCCTACAGTTAATCAGTTACGCCATGTCATTAGTAGCCAATATTGGACATAACACCCAAGAAACGTTCTTTTCAGCAACATTTCAGCCCATTCTATTGAACTTTCTGTTTCATATTTCTTTAAACAGTAGTCATTTAAATTTAATTTTGTATTTGATTATTTTCAGCCAATTCAGAAGGCAAAGATGTATTATTTTGTTTTGTTTTCCTGAAATTTGAATACTTTATGTTATTTAATCCTAGTCCTGTGAAGAGATGTGTTCTAGTAGCAACTTCTTTACCAGTGTTTAGACCACACATTTTATATTTTCTGTTTCATGGGCCTATCGTTCCTACTGAAAAGCAGCTGGAAAAGAATTAAATAAAACATGAAAAGATTTATTTTTAATGTGTCCCGCAAGTAATAGAGACCCTCTTTTACAATGTAAAATGTTATATATGAATTCAATGTCTTCATCACTATCAGTGATTCGGTAAGATAGCTGCAGTTTTAACTCCATGGCAGAATAACTTTCATAAAATTAAATATATGATGGATATACTTATTTATTTATTTTTCTTTTTTTTCCGACTGACCTTATTTCGAAAAGCTGGAATAAATCCATGAAAAATAAAATTTAAAAAGTGTGGCCTTACGTCTCCAAACTGTGCTTTGAACTTGAAAGCCTTGGCTCACGTGCGACTTCATGATAACATTAAATTTGTTAAACTTTCACAGAAATAAAGTGTGATGAGAAGTTGGCCACCTACTACCCCTCATAACGCTGGGGAGCCTACCCAGAGTCCCCCCCCTGCAAATCTTCCACTTATAGTGTTGTGCCACCTCAGTATCACTGAAGCATGTAACATACAAATAGGACTCACAATATAATAACTCCACTAATTGATACTGGGAAGCCTACTGTCAAGTCCACTATACTTTCTGTGCTAATGTTCACCAGCCACCAGGCCTGCAACATGTAATAAAGTCATAAATATGTCAAAAACAAAAAAAAGTCCAATGTTGCCACTAATCAGATAAAGTTAATTTCTAAATCTGAAAAAAAATCACAATCCTGATGTTGCAAATGACAGCATTTTTGTGATCATCTTTGACTTTGAGAAATGACTGCATATCAGCCCATCACCTCCAATTGGGATGAGGCCCTTCAGGGCTGTCACTTGTCACTTAGCACAACCACCAGCTAACACTTCTAGCCAGCCTCTGCAGTCTACATACCAAGAATCTTTGCGACCTAACATCTCATCATCTGGGGGAGCCCTTGAATTGAAAAAGAAGAAAAATAAAAAAGCTCATGAATAAAAGAAACTTCCAATATACGACTTGGTACATGTCAATAAATGCTACTTAAAAGAAGAACACTCAATTCTTTCATATTACCATTTTTAGTCAGTCAGTCATGCCATGACAGATTTACTTTAGTATTATGAAAGAATTGGGTGTTCTTTAACTTCTTTTGAGTATCATATTTGGAGGAAAAAACCTTTTCATCCTGATATAAAAAAAGAATTGAAAGTCTTGATAGGATAAAATGATTAGACACATTAAAAAAACATAATCCCAGGACCCTGAAAGTAAAATCTTGCTGACCTCAACTAAAAAATTCAAAATCAGCTGACCTCGAACTATTGTAGATATATAAATACATGTGACTTTGAAATTATACCTAAATACATATGACAAAAGTCATATGTTTTTAAGTATCTCATCTGCCCTCATGTAGCAAAATAGTGCTATTGTTTTGATAATGAATAAATGGAAAGTGATTCTACAGCAAATTTTTTTCATTAATTTTTCAATAGACATAAAAGTGAGTGAGTGAGTGAGTGAGTGAGTGAGTGAGTGAGTGAGTGAGTGAGTGAGTGAGTGAGTTGGGTTTAACGCCGCTTTTAACAGTATTCCAGTTATATCACAGCGTGTCAGCTTAATGTGGGAGGAAAGCCCGAAGTGATGCAGGTCTCAGACGTTTACCACTTCGGTTAAACCCACGAACACAAGTATGGTGCTGACAAACCTAGAAACATAATCGGGGTAAACCAAGATTTGAACCCAAAATAATAGGTTTCATCCCAAACTTCAGGTAAGAGGTGAATGAGTGAGTTTGATTTAACACAGCAGGGCCACAGAAATGGGCTTTACACATTGTACCCATGTCGGGATCGAACCCGGGTCTTCGGCGTGAAGAGCGAACGCTTTAACCACTAGGCTACCCGACTGCCCCTCAGGTAAGAGGTGATTTAGAATCGGGTGGTAACAGAGTGCAGCCTGGATGTGTCGTCACTGAGTGAGTGAGTGTGGCTTAAGGGTGCTTGGAACAGTTTTTCAGCAAGGTCACAGCATGTCAGTTTGACATGGGAGGAAAACCTGAAGTGACGCAGAGGTTTACCACTTTGGGGACACCCATGACCACAGGTACAGTACTGTTTGTTTGTTTGTTTGTTTGTTGTTTAACGCCGCACTCAGCAATATTCCAGCTATAGGACGGTGGTCTGTAAATAATCGAGTCTAGACCAGACAATCCAGTGATTGAAATCAGCGAGCTTGACCAGCCAATCCCATTAGTCGCCTTTTACGGCAAGCATAGGTTGCTGCAGACCTATTTTACCCCGGATCTTCAGGGGTCAGATATAGTACTGATAAACCAAGGACTATACCGTATTTTCTTGAGTATAGTGCGCACCCATGTATAATGCGCACCCCCCTCTAGCGGGTTCAATATTTTGGAAAAAAAGAAATTTCAATATTATGCGCAGAAAAAAATTACACCGTACCCTCTCAGCGAAGTCCGGCAAACCAACGGGTGCTGAGAAACTTCGTCAGTACAAATTCGAAATTTGAGATAAAAAATCACCAGACATGTTTATTTACCGTTTAAATAGTATTTATTGTTCTGCTAGGCATTGTTTTATATCTAGGGATTAAGATTACCTTGTGTATTTTCTCGTAAACTAAGCCGGAAACAGCAATTAGCTGTACACACGTTTTCTTGGAATCGACCGGTGATTCGGTCAAGACACACCCAATGATATAACTTTATAGGATTTTTAATGCAAGGATCGGCAACAATTGTATCTGAAACTATTTTTTTTTATCAGGAATAATATATTCCATTATTTTCTTAATTATATGCAGCCTTTACTAAACATATTTAAAATAATAATAACCCTAAGTGAAGCAGCTGATCGCTATTCCCGGGTATTATTTTTACATGGAACCAGTCTGACCAGTCACCGTCAAGGCTCACGCGCACGTGATCGCGTGATCGCGTGATCGCGTGATCGCGAGAATTTCATGTTGACATAGAATCGTCAAACAAAAACAAATATGACTTTTAACGAGTCAAAGTATGTCATATATGATATATGTATCCATTCTCTGTCAACTAAAGTTCGTTTCAAGGCGTCAATAGCGGTATTCTGACCGTGGTTGCTGTTAATAACGGTTTCGCCGAAATTAATAAAAACAATATTTATATGGAATTTTGAATAAAATTAATGAAATAAGTTACAAACATAAGTCCAGATATACAAAGAACACTTTTTATAGCCAGACAGTGTAATTACATGATTATTTTGCGTACTTCAGTATGGATTTGTTGACATGGTATTTCCGGTGTTTCGTGCTCACGGTAATGTCTTTCCATGGGGGGAAAAAACATCCAAACTCATAATTCGTGTATAATGCGCACCCCCTTCTACACAGCTGTGTTTTTTCAAAAAAAAGTGCGCACTATACTCAAGAAAATACGGTAATCATAACATCTGGGATTCAAATCCTACATAACATAAGGGACATAACTCTGCACACCAAATTCTGGCATGTTGTATGACTGGGCCACCCCTGTCTGTCCCTTTAGTGCCATCATACCCTAGGACAGGAAGCTTATGATGTTCATGCTATCAACCACCGGTTTGCCCAGCTCTGATTACATCACTTAGAGGCAGATGTGATACAGCTGGAATATTGTTAGACTACAATTAGAAATAACATTCACTCTTTTCACTGCAAAGAGTCTCCATGGACAGAAGGTCAGATCCATTGAACACAGCCTTAACACTAAGCATTGTGTAGGTTTATCATTGCTATAATTAGATAAATATTTTCAAAGAATACACCACTCAGATAGGAGTGACATTCAATAAGCGACATTGTAAGTCATCTACACTGCTTGAACAATGAGCAATTATCTCCAGCATGGCGACCCGAAGCAGATAGCACCAATGTGTCAACATTGTGTTGAAGGCGGGCCCCTCTCCGTGATGCATGGCCAGAGGAAGCCGACTGGTCGTAAAGAACCCGCTAACGATGTCCCAAAGTATGTCCCTCTTCAAGAACAAAATTGTTATTAGCTTAACGATATTGATTTAACATTATGGGCGATGGCTTTCCTACAAATAACCTGGGGATCCCACAATTAAACACTGAATCGGCAGTATAGGTGCAATTATTTGCGTCAAATTTGCCAATTTGGTTGGAAATGGAATGAAAATATATGGCACTTGCAAATTCTTTAACTGTAGAAGTGACAAAAAGTGAAAATTTGATATGAATCATGATCCTCAGAGTATGAATATGTACTGATGGAATGGAAATTATCGGCTATTAAGAAGAGATAAATTCATGGAATCTGTATGATTTACACATCGTCTCCAATAAAGGGGAGCCAATCGTGACCCGGTATGACTGCAGTGTGATGTTTGCTGCAGGAGGGATGGTTGCCGAGATGCCGAGATGCCGAGATGCCGAGATACACATGTGTTGACATACCATTATGCCGATGTCCTAATTACCAGATTCTATCAACAGGAAGAACAAGCACAAATACATCCCACAAAATGTCACAAAATACTGACATTGTGTGTCATTATTATCATTATTGTCATTATAATAATATTTCTAACATAATGTATAATGTGTTTAATTAGTTCCTGTACTAGTCTCAAGGGGGTGTATATATACAATGATATTTATCTTATCTCATCCTTCTAAACAACTTGATAAAATCATTTTCTCTGCTTTGAAACAGAATATACACTGTGAATGAATCCATTGTTTAATTCTCATCCCATATGTATTTTTCACCATTAAAATTTTAGAACAATATTTCACAAAATAGTATTCCTTCATCCAGTGTAGGTGAGGATGTCAATTTTTGTTGTTTTTCATAAAGAGTCAAGTAATATGAAGCCTAAAACCAGCTAGACTAATATGGTTCGTAGTTTACCACCAGTATCACCTGGTATATCCCTAAACCACAAGGACAGGTTGCTGGAGACCGGTTCTAACCCAGCTAGACTAATATGGTTCGTAGTTTACCACCAGTATCACCTGGTATATCCCTAAACCACAAGGACAGGTTGCTGGGGACCGGTTCTAACACAGCTAGACTAATATGGTTCGTAGTTTACCACCAGTATCACCTGGTATATCCCTAAACCACAAGGACAGGTTGCTGGGGACCATTTCTAACCCGGTTAGACTAATATGGTTCGTAGTTTACCACCAGTATCACCTGGTATATCCCTAAACCACAAGGACAGGTTGCTGGGGACCGTTTCTAACCCGGTTAGACTAATATGGTTCGTAGTTTACCACCAGTATCACCTGGTATATCCCTAAACCACAAGGACAGGTTGCTGGGGACCGGTTCTAACACAGAGTCAACATGTGGGTCATCCAACTGAGTGAGTGAGTGAGTTGGGTTTAACACCGCTTCCAGTTACATCACGGTGTGTCAGCTTAATGTGGGAGGAAAGCCTGAAGTGATGCAGGTCTCAGACATTTACCACTTCAGTGAAACCCACGACCATGGGTATGGTGCTGACAAACCTGGAAACATAATCGGGGTGAACCAGGATTCGAACCCACTATCATAGGGTTCTGGCATGCCCAATGGACGTAACTCTGCAAAACGAATCACGGCACCTTAGACGACTGGGCCACCCGTGCCCCCCCCCATCCAACTGAAACTTCCATACACTCTTGGCTGCTTCACATGTTGAGTAAGGTAATCCGGTTTTGAAATTAGCATTGTATACAACTTAGGTGAAATTTAACTTCCGTAATATTAATGAAAAGTCTTATCAATCAATATATTTTGCCTCCATTAACACATCAATTGTCAATAGTCAATTGACTATTTCCCCCATTATATGCAAGGGAGATAAAAAAATTAATACACATCTTCCAGAGTGAGTGAGTGAGTGAGTGAGTGAGTGAGTGAGTGAGTGAGTGAGTGAGTATGGTTTTACGCCGTTTTA